CTCTTCAGCCGAACCCCTCGTCCCAGCAATATACTCAAACAGCTGGGCAAAGGATTGGGGAACCAGTAAAACCCCAGGAGTTTTCAGAAAACCATCGATGGCTTATTTAAGCAAAAAAGGGGGGGGCAGGTACTTGGGCCCTGCCCAAAGTGTAACTTCCTGCACTGAGTTTCAAACCAACGCCCAAGAGTCCTGTGTGGGACTCATCCCTGCTTAGACCCTTGTGCCAGGAGAAGACAGCTCACTCTGTGTGTCATTCCAGACTCGGGGCTGCTCTTTTCTCTGCTACCCTACTTCAAACCACCTTCGGGTTTGAGGCTACACAAGGGTGCTCCACCATGGTGGCCGGGTGACTTTCAAAGCTTTCCTCATCAATGAAAATGACTGCTAAAATTTGCTCCTTTGGTATAAAGTCCATAGCTATAGAAATTGCTCGTTTGAATCTAAAGTGTTTCCAACAGCCCCTAAGAGGGTAGGACCTGAACTGAGCTTGCTGGACTGACCCAGAATCACTTGGCCTACAGGCCCCCTGAGCAGGTCCCACCTTCTCTAGTGGGAAGGGGGTCTGCCTCCAGTCACCAGGCGGTCACCAGTCTCCAGGATACAAAGGCCTCCAGCAGCCCCTACGGGGTGACCTTTGGGGGCCTTTCAGCTTCAGCTCTGGAGCCATAATTAGAGCAGGCCTGCTCCATGGGGGCATGCTGGAGTCTGCAAGGCTCAGACAGCAGCTGAATGGCTCCTGGGATCACTGCAGGGTCTGAGAGGAGATTGCAAATGAACACTCACCGCCAGCTTTAACCCAGAACCTTTCCTTGAGCAGAAGCTACAAGGAGCCTTTGAGGTGGGGCTCTCTTATTCTGAGCATCCCACCCCCTAGCTTACCCACAGGCCATTAAGAAATCCTTCCAACTGAGCGGGGTTCTGTCACCATTTTCATGGTCAACACTACGGCCGATTCATTTTGCATGTCCTTTGAACAGTTTTATCTTCAAGAACCACATCCTTGCTCTCCCTCACTGCCCACCAACCTGGAATCCTGTACCCTAAAGTCTCCCTGTCTAACTCGGGAGACTGGGGAACCTGATGGACTCCTGCCACAGTGTTTCAAAGTCAGGGATGCCTAGAAATTGGTCTGGTCTTGCAAATCCCTGCATCTGGCATTCTCCAAAGACGTGGTTGCCCCACTGTGTGACATCCTTTTCTAGACCCTACTCCCCCTTGTCAAATCTCTGCCTTCCCTCTCTTCAGCCCTTCCATTTGCGGTAACTGTTGGTGAATTGCAGTGGGAATACATTTCCTGTTCTACAGGCCTCTGAACTCCTAAGCCAGTGTATTCAAATGGTAGTCTCTGCCTCTCTATCAGATGGAGCACTTCCGGGTTCTCTGCACCCCAAGGAAAGGGAGAGAAGTGGTCAGGGGCTGAGCTTCCACTCCTGAAACTTGGAGGATTTGGGAGACAGACTCAAACCCAGACCCAAGGCACCCCCAGGAGCTGTGTCTGGCCCTGTCCTCCCTCTCTTTCTCTCTCCTTCAGCATTTTCTGCCCGCGTCTGGACCACAGGACAAGTGAAACTCGGCAGGGCATGATTCATCGGGTGGCACCCTTCCGAGCCCAGACCCGTATGACATTAATCAGTGTCAGACCGCTATAATGGAGATATGAATATGAATTCTCCATATTGCAGGGAGATAAATGTGCTTTTATATAATGGATCAGTGGAGAGTGGGGTGGGTGGGAGCAGGGAGACGGCAGAAGTTCCAGCAGGTCAGCCAAGGGTGCTGGTGCCCACTCCACAGGAGCCTGGCTGGGAGGGCTGGCCTAAGCCCTCAAACTTGAGGCCCTCGGCTAGAGCTGTTTCTCATCAGTCCATGTTCTCCAGCAAATTTCCAAAGAAGCTCAGTAGCAAAGAGTCTGTCCAGAACCCTGCATGCCCTCTCCTCAGGGAGGAGGGATGCTCTAGGCAGAGACCACCAGTACTGTGGGGAGTCCTAGCCCCTGTCACCACATTTCCTATCACAGAATTGCTGCCTCTGGAGATGATACTTGGGGGTTTGTGGGGTAGAAGTGTCCTTACAGGCAAAAACTTCTCCACGAACTTCTGGGGCTCTAATATTAGAAGCCAAGGTGGGAAACTCCTGAGCACCCAGCATCCATCACAAGGATACGTTTAGCAACGGTAGAGAAAGATGTCTGGGTTCCACCCCTCTCCCCGAACAACCTCAATAGAAGATTGGTTCTTGGGGGAAGCCAGACCACTCAGTCTCACCTTCTAGACTGTCGGACTCCAGTATTGCTAGGATCCTGTCAGCTGGGAGTCTGCTAGTTCAGCCTCTTCGGCACATGACAAATATCTTATAGACGAAAAAATTAAAAGGGAGGTGTGCAGGCACTTAGACAATTGTTAGATTCAGAGGTGTGAACACGAAGAACCTTACCTGTCTGTGCTGGCAGAGTTCACCTGAGTCAGTCTGCTGCTTCCTGCAATCACCAAAAAACGAATCTCCAAGCCTGTTTTGAAGTTCTGAGAAGCACACAAACATGCCTGGGTGCCCCGTTCCTCACTCCAGAAACAAGGCATGGCTGATTAGGTTTCTTTAGAGATGCAGTTTCACAGGGCCCCCATTCCAGAGCCTCTGGGGTGAAGGGTCCAGGGATAGGAGGCTCCATGCAGCCTCTGCAAGGAGGGCTATAAAAGGGTACTTTTGTCTCAGCAAATCCCATCAGGATACTGAAAACACAGCTTACAATCCAAGGCCCACTTTTGCCTCCAAATGTCAGTGGCCTGGCAGTCCCCCAAACACACCACACACACACACACACACACACACACACACACGCTCACACACATGATTGATCCCAGAAACAAGCACTAAGCCTTGTCACTACAAATCCATGCTCTGGCCCAGGGAGCCCCAAGGCCCAACTGTCCCAGGGTTTCAAGGAGCCTTATAAACACCGCCAGTAGGGGTCAAGGCCCCATTCTGCTTTTGGACCATAGAGGGCGCCCCGAGCTCAACCATTCAGACCTCGGAGCTCCCAGTAGCTTAGCAGAGGGCATCTATGGGACCCAGGTCCACCTCTCGGGGCTACCTAGCTCCTCAGCTGCTCTGTCACCCCAGGATCTACCGTGCACTGACGCGTGAACGCACGCGCGATTTAGTCCCTTGCCTGGGCAGCGACTCTGAGCCTCTCTCCAGCCTGGAGTTCCAGAAGCCCAATTCATACTCAGCTGGTGGGCAAGGGTGGGAAGAACTGAGAAAAGGGGAAGTGCCCTGAGTGCGATGTGGCCCTGGCAGCGCAAGAAAATGCCTGCTGGTTCTCGAGGCAAGCAAGGAGCAGTGGTGAAAGTCTTCCCCTTCTCAGCCCAGCGGTGCACACACCGACTCTTCCCAGCAGCCTGGGGAAAGAGCAAGTCTCTGGGGGCTGGGAAGAGCTGAGACCAAGCAGGGGAGGGGCTACACGACTTCGACTTTCCCGACTAAACCTGTTCATCACCACCACTATCCCTCCCCACCCCCGCACCCCTCCCGCCTCCGCAGTTTGCACCGCCCCCCCCCCAATTCGGCAGTTTTAATGTTTGCTTGCACGTTCGTCACAAAGTCTGCAACCATCAGAGTCCCAAAAGTCCTGGCTCTGAGATAGTAAATCCTCCCCACGCTGCTGGAGAGTGCTGCACGCGACCAGCTCAAGAAGCCATAAGGCTGAAGTGGCTGGACTCCTAACTCTCAGCCGTGGTTTTTAAAGCTCCTTTCCCACCCGAGCGCACGGAAGGCCAGTTCCTGCCCCCCATTGTTGCTACAGTCGCTTCCAGCCTCCTCCAGCCCAATTCGGGCATCTAGGAAACTATTTATTCGTGATTTCAGTTAATCGCAGATCGTCCCACCCGGGTTTAGAGGAGCGCCCTTTGCAGCCCACCAAAACTCCGCCCCCCCCCCCGCCCCCCCCCCCCCCCGCTCCGTGGCCCGTTCTGGCGCTTGCATCTCTTTCTCTGAAGCCGCTGCTGCATCTTGAATCACAAGCGCAGGGAACCCCAAAAGCCAGAACCCGCAACCCCATCTCGCTCGCCTTTATGAGGATCTTAATGAGCCTTCCGTTTTCTCCTCTTTACATTTAACCAAGTAAATAAACACATTGCGAGCAATATTTCATACTCCATTAAGTCATCCCTCTGCCCAGAAAACGACCCTGCGCCAAAACGCGCTGCACACACAACTAGTGAGTAATTGATTTCGAGCCCGAAGTCCCCCTTTGGGAGTATGATTGGAAATTTCTTCATTTTCCCCCATTTTGATCCACTTTAAAACATCGTTTTTGTAAACTGCCTAAAATTGAACCCACTTACGTTCTGAGAAAGGCTGCTCCAGATAAATGCTTGTCTAAGCGTGGCAAAGAATTAAACTGCCAACAAGAAATTGCCCTAGGAGTAAAATGAACAAATTCAACCACCACCAGAACGGAAGGACTGTATATGCCTGACACAGTAGTTTGTTTGGTGTTAACACTGTTCCAAGGCCCTACTGCCAAAGGAACCGCTTTGGCATAACCATGGGTCCCTGGACTCTGCTCAGGATTTCAAGATAGCAGACACCCTTACCTCCCCTAAAACGCGTGAGCACAGGGACAAACAGCTGCAGCAGCGTGAGCATTATTTCATTTAGTTTATTAGACAAAAATATATGATTTAAACAAGTTCGCTGACGCGCTATTTACAATCTGAAATCACGCTATATACAGAAAGGGAGAGGGAAAAAAGAAACAAAGAAAAGAAGACACAAACACGGGTGGAGGGGGCGGATTTACCGAATCGGATAATCAACCCGAGCAGCAGGCAGAGACTGCCCACCCCTCGAGCGCTTAGGCGGGATGAGCCCCTTTCTGCTGAGAGCGATGCGTGAGAATCGCTGACGCCGCCGTCACGTTTGTCCTTTACACAAGTCTCAAATATTTGTCTTAATTCCTCCCTCGTCTCCTCCCTCCCTCAACCCCTCCCCCCTCCCCTCCCCCGCAAAAGTAAAAGACGACCCTTAATCAAGCAGACGGGAGAGCTGCGAGGATCCGAGGCGTTCCCTCCTGCGGGGCCAGCGAGCTGTACGAGAAACACAGCAAGAAGACACCAGCAATAAGTAGACATATCAAGTGCCACCGCGCCTAGGCTTCTTCAGGCAGAACCGGGCTGGAGCTAGACCGCCGCCCATCAGACTCCCCGCTCCTGAGAACTGGACCGAGCTAGATGGATAGTGCTCTCCAATTACTCCAATTAAGACTACAGGACAGGATCCTCACTGCCACCCCAGCTTTGCTCCATCCCGCCCCAGGGCAAAAAGCAAAAAGCACTCACTTGTCGCGCACGGGCTGGAAGGGCGACTTTAACTGCTGTGGGGGCGAATCCGACCTGGGGACTAGGTCTCTCTCTGCGAGGGAACAGAAGATGCGCAGGGTTAAGAGAGGGGTATAGGTAATGGGGTGAGCCAGTTGGAAGTGCTCCTATGCCCAGACTCCTCGCTAATGCTCATTTCCTGAGACCAACGTCTGCCCCCTACCCCTCCCTGGGACAAGCTCAGCAGCTCAGAGAAACCTAGGCCTAGCTACTTGCATTAATAGTCACCCCTGCCCACCATCGCTGACACTATGCCTAAGCCTCTTGTCTGGCACCAAGTGAATGCAACCTTTTGGCTAGGTACCTGGAAGCACAGGACTGCTACGAGCGGAGGCCTTGTCACCGTGGATCAACCCAGTGGCAACCTGGACAGGTGGCTGTGGAGGTGGTGGTGCGGGCAGGTGTGGGCCGTGGGGTGCGGCGTGTGGTGCCCCAACACCCAGGAAGGAGCGCATGTTCAGCAGCGAGCCCTGTGCGAGGAACGCGCCGTTCGTCCAGTTGGAAAACTTGCCTATGTGGCAGGTGTACAGTCCGTGGCTGGGCAGAAAGGCCGGGTGTTGCAGGGGCGCGCCGCTGGGAGGCCCGTGCGCGCTAGGATGACTGGTGGGTGGTGGTGGAGATGCTTTGGGAACGCCGTCGGGGCTAGTGGCTGTCTCAGCCAGCGACCAGATCTTGGGCTTGCTGTTCGGCGCGCCCTGCAGGCCGACCGCCGAGGCGCCAGGACTCAGCAGACGCGTGCTGCCGGGCTCTGAGACTTCCTTAGCCAGGCCTAAGGGCGAATCTTGGGACTTGAGTGCCTCGGCGGCCGACAACGGTGAGCCCTGGTCCCGAGCTAGGGTGGGAGGGGCTCCGCGCGCCCTAGGAACTTCAGTCTTGTCCTCCTCGTCTTCATTGCTCTGGTCGCCATCACGCTCGTCGATCTGGTCGATGTCAATGCTCTCCAGGTCGATCTCCTCGTCGTCCTCGGTCTTCTCGGGGTCGCCCTCTGTGTCACTGCCAAAGAGGGCGCCGTCTTCCTGGTCCTTGCTGCGCGCCCCCCATGTCACCTTGTTCTCCTTCTTGAGGCGGCGACGCGCATTGGCGAACCAGGTGGAGACCTGTGTGAGGGTCATCTTGGTGATGATGGCCAACATAATCTTCTCTCCCTTGGTGGGGTACGGGTTCTTGCGGTGTTCATTGAGCCAGGCTTTCAGCGTGCTGGTGCTCTCGCGTGTGGCGTTCTTAGGTCGCCCGGGATCCCCGTATTGGAACTGGCCATAGGGGTAATAAGCAGGCGTTGTGTGGGCTGCGAAGGTGGCTGGGTGCACCCCTGGGTTGTCCTTGAGTTCATACTGAGAGCCCTGAAGCGACCACAGTCCAAGAGAGAAGAGAGAGAGGAAAAAAAAATGGAGGGAGAGAGGAGAAAGGAGAAATGAGTTCCAGAAGCTAGGAAAAGAAGATCCAGCTTCTATGGACCCTGGGGGCCTCTAGGGCACCTGATTCACCAGGCTCAAAAAAGGAACACACACACACACACACACACACACACACACACACACACACACACACCACTGTTTGGAGAGCCAAGGCAGCTAAACTGGATTGTTGGCGTTCGATCTCCACTAAACAGATCTTTTTTGCTGTTGTCCGCTCTAGAAAAACTTAAAGAAGTCTTGGAATTTTAGAGTGCAGCGTAATCCCTGCCCCCTCCCCGGGGTTTTCCCAGGCCCTGGGTCCCAGACACCAATCCTTCACAAAATTCAGATTTCCAAATTCAGTTCACACTAGCTGGAGGGGGAAACCTTTTATGTAGGCTGCTGAAACAGTTTCTCCAAAGTGAAGCACCCAGAACTCAAGGCTCCTCCTTCTCACCCTGAAGGACTCAATCAAAAGAATCATCCAGGGCGTTTTTTCAGTCAAAGCTCACAGCTAACTCAAAATGAAAGTACAATCCTCTTTCGGCCTCCCAAATTATTCTGCGTATAATGGTTCACTCGCTCTTAGAGGTCTGTAGCGGTGACGCGTAATTTTAAAATTTTTAATGCTTACCATCCTCAGCAACAGTGGCAAAATGCATTTTTTAAAAAAAATACAAAAGGAGAGCTTATCCTGTAAAATATTAACGGCAGGTCCTGGAGTCGCAGGCTGCCCCAGCTCGAGGGAACGGGTTCAGTTTCCTGGGCCTCTTCTCGGCTACTTTATCTATCACTTAAGTTTGACTTTGATCTGCGCCCGAGCAAACACAAACAGTTTGAGGCATTTAGAGGCCATGATTTATTTGCAATCAATATTCTTTTTATCATCAGTAGTAAAACACAGCAAGTCAAATTATCCCATCAGGTTTTTTGGTAAATAACATTTTATCTTTCTAACAGCCTCATTAGGCCTCATTATTACCATAAATTGCCCAGACAGACGCTCACTCACAATATTATCTTTTGGGTTCCAAATACCAGATTATAAAAGATTGGAAAGCTAGGCCACCACTGAGGGTTTGGGTTTAGGCTCACTCTCCAAGAACTCGGTAGGAGACCTGGAGGTAACACAAACACCTTAGGGGACAAATTTTATTTAGCCTTTAGTTTAAAGAGAAAACAAAACTAAACAGAAACCTCCTGTGGACCTTCCCCACCTCACCACAATGGGAGCAGACTCTCTTTGCCCCCACAAACACACAGGCAAGATTCCCAAATGGCTCACATCTGTATTCAAAATTTCTGTTAAACATACACACGTGCGTGTACACACACACACACACACACACACACACACACACACGCACACACCAAAAAAGAAAAAAAGCCCTTCATCTTCCGTTTTTTTTTTATAAAAAGGATCCAGTTGCCAAGTTAGCAAAGAAGTCAGAGTCCTAAGAAAGTTATAAAAGTATATTTCTGTATTTCCTTGACTAACTAGTGATCGAGGTCCACGCGGGAAAGGCTTCTGTGGCCCGAATTCGTTTGTGCTTCGTCATTGTAAAATACACTACGTGCTTTTCAAAAGTATTTTAGCTGCCATCGTAGAAAAGAATTTTTGGCATCGTCTCTGCGGGGATTTTTTTTTTTTTTATGAAAGGGTACCTTGTAACTCTCTCTTCGTTCCCGGGGCTGTCCGAACAAAATGGGGGCTGATCTTCCTTGTTAGGGCACATTAGAAAAACGACTGGCCTGACCGCTGAGAAACAGGCTTTCTCTCTAAACTACAAGAAAAGTTGCGGGGAAAACGCGCCGGACGCGTTGTTCCTGCACACTTGGAGGCCAGCCTTTTAGGGGGTCTGATCTGGTCTGTTTTTCCGGAGATGGGATAATTCGGGGTTCCCGGAAACCGCACTATCCAGAAGAGAGCAGGGCGGCAGGGACCGCCTCTGGAAAACCCCGCGCCCACCTTGCAATTTGCCAGCGGCCTCAAGTTTAAGCAGTCCGACCTTTCAGTCACAGCAAGGAAAATTGATCGTTTGTAAGGATAGACTGGCCAATGCTCCAGCGGAGAATTAAATTTACATCCCCCTCCTCCATCTGACACCCATTGGGAGCGGAGATTGGAGGGCACCATTTATTTTAAGCCCTGGGACACTGTTTCTTTAATTCTTCCTTATGTAACGGGGAAGAGAAGTGCTTTTCTTTCGGTTCAAATGAAATGAAAACTTTGGCAACTTACGAAAGTAAAGGCAAATGCTGTTTCGGAAGCTAGAATTTATGTCAACTTAGTATTTCTTAAATCTCCAATCCCTATGATTCCGACACAGGCCACTAAGAGCCCTCTCTGCTCTGCCAATGTCTATTGTTTGTTACGATGTTTTTGACCGACCCCGCTAGGTTTAACCGCTTCCTTTTGGCAAAGTCGAGGGCAACTATCTCTGCTCTGCCCAAGAGAGAGAAGTAAGGTCGTCTGGGCCCCAGGGAAAGCTCAAGCAGCGCCCCGGGCAAATCCGGCCGGCCGCCTGGCCAGGGCTCTGCTGGTAAAGCGGCCCTGGCTGCGGGAACCCAGCGGGCCTGTCCGATCGCACCGGCCGCGCCAGGAGAATTCGCCCCCGACCTCGGGTGCTTGCTACGGTCTCCGGCCTGCTCCTGAAGCTTTCTCCACTAGCGCGCAACCCTTTTCCAAGCTCTGGTCTTCAGCCTACCAAGACTGCGGGGGTCACTGCCTGGGCCTCTGGACACTCCCGGGTGTCCCGGGGGACGCGGTCTCCGCTGCCGGATCCTCTCGGCAGGACTCTTCCCGCTTCCTTCCCAGAAATTGCCTGTGGGTCCTTGGTTTCCCCGCTTGCCCAGAGGCTCCCGCTATCCCCGGGCGCCGTGATCTCCCACCGGCGCGGTCTGGGAGGACGCACAGGAGGCGGGAGCACTCACCATCTGCGAGAAGAGGCTGAGGTCCGCAGCATAGGGCAGGAAGGCGCTGTAGTTGGGTGCCCCCGCGTACGGTCCAGCCGCGGCGTACATGCCCAACACCGAGGTAACTGCGGCCGCTCCCGCGCCTGCTCCCAGCTCCGCCGTCCCAGGCCGGCCCGACGAGGCGGCGGCCGCAGCAACCGCGGCCGCAGCCAGCAACCCAGCGCCCGCACCGCACGAGGCGC